ACCTCTACTTTCGGATAGTTTATCTGTATTTTAAGTTCCACGCATGTCGCTACTGTAACCCTTTAAATGCGAGGCCATGTTCGTCATACGTCATACCTCATATCGTCGAGTTCGACGAATCGCACGCACTTTGGACAATTTTTGTCCGAGATACCGTTCACGGCAGAACGAAGTTCGATCTTTCCCCTTTAATTTAAAAAAAAAGAAACTCGGCTGCGATTTTTTCTCGCAAAGTTGCAGCAGTTTATAGTAACCCTTGCATGTTCTCCAATCTGTGGTACAAATTGTCAACAACCATAAAAACGAGTTGCAAGGCTCGAACAATCGTATCTCCTCTTCCCAAATTATCCGTTTTTGGGCACAATGTGAGCGTCAGTAAGGGAGACATTATTATATTTCAAACGATTTACAATTATTTTTTGGAACGCAACGGAGTTCGAATGACGTTCATTGCAACAGGTTCATGTCACCTTAATCAGGGGCTTTTGTGCATTTGTGATGGAGGTGACTCGATAAAAAGAATATTAAATTATTACGAATAATTTATTAGAACGATTATTATTAGAATAGAACGTTCGAACGATAATTGTTGACCGGCAATTGTGATGCTACCGAACCGTCCGAATCGCCGGTCGCTCTATAATCCCCTGACCCGACGAGAGGCCGTTCGAAATAATCTTCGCGGTGTTAAAAAATCTCGTTCCGACGAGAATGAAAAACCATTGCGATACGGGGCGGTTCTTTCTGATCTGTCCTCTTCCGCGACGACTCTCTCGGCTCTCCCGTGTTTCCAGCTGAAACCTATTTCACGCGTGGAACATCGGTCCGCGAATGTTAATCTCCGGCGGCGGGAAACTGTGTCGCGAATGCGTGTAGAACACGACGGTGTACAGTCAAGTTTCACTTCATTAAAACAGTCCGCGTTAACAAGAACCGACGACACGGTTCTACTTTATCGCAGCCATAAAGTGTCTGTTAGCGAGCGTAACGAATTTGTTCGTTGCTCCACTTTTCGCGGAACGGACCGTAAAAAGAGCGGCCGATGCGTCCGATGCGTCAGCGTGCATCGCGGAGAAGAAAAAAATATTCTTCGAGCGTTGATCGAACGCGCGTCGATCAGCCGCGAATTTCACCGCGAATCGGATTTAATTGCGCGTCTCAGAAAACACGAACATTTGCAGCGATCGCGGCGGATCGTTAACGTTTACGGAAAATAAAAATTGCCACCACAACACTTCATTTCGATGAAAATTACATTCGCACAACAGAATTATTTCAAAACTTTCGGCTGAATCGAAGAAACAAGGTACGTGAATTCTATTTCGCGGCACGGCGATCGCGGCGACGCCAATGTGTAATGCAGAATGACTCGTCGAACTCGGTGGAATATTTCGCGAGGGTTTAATGTTATCAAAAATATGTTCCTACAAAAATTGTTTGGTATAAAGGGGGACGTTAGAGAATACAAAGAATATTTCTATAAGTGTAGCGGTGGGGGAGATATCGAAGTCGAATTAATATCTTAAATAGGACCCTGCATTTTTTTATCTATAGTATAGTAGCGTTTGTTCAGAGGAATACACTGAGCTACAACATGATATCGGTCCATGTAGTGGAAATGACGTAAATGTAACGCATATGCGGCAGTCGAACGTATATGCGGCAGACGAACGCGTATGCGGCAGACGAACGCATGTGCGGCAGAAAAACGCAAGTCGCTAGCTGAACTCTGTGACTGTATCGACTAATACACAATTATTCATATCCTAAAGATACATTTACGAGTTATTCATTCAATTTATACGTTACTTACGGCAAACGTTACAATAACACACATGTTCAAAATCAGAATAAATATCTTATTTAAAACTTATATAAAACAGCTGTTCCTTCGTGCTCCGTAAGTCTAGCGTTTAGCACGTTCGCAATGCCAGCGACTAGATATCTAATTAAATCTCTATTTAAATCTCCCGATCTCTAAATCCCTAGGGAAACACTTTCGCAGAGTCGCGACAAAAAGAACACTCGAAAGCATCGAAACAAAACCATAATTCCCGACGATCCCTCTCGATCAAACCGGCCGCGGCAGTAGATACACCGTAATCCAGTCGCGAGCGGCCGGAAGAATCATCAATTACGGTATCCGGGTGTCGGTGCGCCGGCTCGAAATTTTCCCACGAAAATCCCGTGATCCCGCGGATCATCAAGGGAAGCCGCGCGGTTCTGCCGTCAGGCCGACGGATCTCGCCATTTTTCCCGTCGCTGGTGCCATTATGCCGGCGCGGCGCGGCGGCGCGCCATCGTCGTCGTCGTCGTTTTTGTTTTTGTTTTTGCTTCCCGCCTTTGCGTCGGGTCGGGCCGGGTCGGGCCGCGGCGGCGCGGGCGTCGTCGGGCCGGCATTTTTTTCAGTGTCTCCCCGAAAAAATCTATAAATCTCGCGCGTGAGCCGGCGGCGCGTACGTCAGGACCATTCGTCAGCGGGCAGATTGCAGAGCCGTGGCTGGATTCCGCGCTGCGGGGCTTGAAAAAGTCCGGCCTGCCGGCGAGCCCCCTGTCCCGCCGCCGGTCACCCCTCCCTCCTCTCCCTCCGTCGAACACGGTGCCGGTCACGGCCGGCAATAAAGCCGCGAGCGATTTTTACGATCGAGGCCGGATCGCATGACGAGGTAATTTACCTTCGAAGAGAATTCTCGGCACGCTGACGCGGTGGATACGTGTCGAGCCGGCCCACTTCAACCCTCTCGATTCGAGACCGCGACTTCTCATCCACCCACGCATTCCCTCTCTCTCTCTTTCTCTCTCTCATTCTCTCATTCTTTCTTTCGCTCGCTCTCTCTAGTAAGAGTACGCGCTCTCTCTTGCTCTCGCTCTCTCTCTCGCATGCTCTCTCTTGCTCCCTCTCTCGCTCGCTCTCTCTCGCTCTCTCTCTCTCTCTTGCTCTTTCTGTCTCTCGCTCTCTTTCTAGCTCGCACTGTCTCTCGCTCTCTCTCTAGCTCGCACTGTCTCTAGCTCTCTCTCGCTCTCTCTCTATCTCTCGCTCTCTCTCTCTCTATCTCTAGCTCTCTCTCTCTCTTTCTGTCTCTCGCTCTCTCTCGCTCGCTCTGTCTCTCGCTCTCTCTCGCTCTCTCTCTGTCTCTCGCTCTCTCTCGTTCTCTCTCTCTCTCTCTGTCTCTCGCTCTCTCTCGCTCTCTCTCGCTCGCTCTGTCTCTAGCTCTCTCTCGCTCTCTCTCTCTGTCTCTCGCTGTCTCTCTCTCGCTCGCATGCTCTCTCTCTGCCTCTCTGACTCTCTTTCTCTATATCTCTCTTTCTCTCTCTCTCTGTCTCTCTTTCTCTCTTTCTCTATGTCTCTCCTTCTCTCTTTCTCTCTCTCTCTCTCTTTTGCTCTAGCAGTCTCCGTTGCGTCATCGTGCTCTCAAGACCGTTCTCGGGTTCCCGATCTTGAACACGTTGACTGCCGCCCAGGTGAACTAGTTCTTTGTCCGGCGAAATTGGAACTCGACGGAGACTGCTAACACATCGTCTCTGTCGACGACGATTTCGTTCGACGTTAAAGAGAAACCGCAATTTCTAATTGAGAACCGATTGTTTCACCCTCGGTCACCGTGTCATACGAACCCGGTGCAGTTAAATCCGTCACCGAATTAGTCGATTCACAGCCATTCAATTAACGCTAGATTTCTCGGAGCACAAAAAAGCAGCTGTTTTATTATCGTAGTTTATAACAGTAACAATAAGATGGTTAAACTGATTTTGAACAAGAATCGTTGCAACAGTAAGTAGTATATAACCCGTACGTAATATATAAATTGAATAAATAACTCGTAAATGTATCTTTGCGATACGAATAATCGTTTTTTAAAAAGTTAGTGACCCGTCATTTCCAAGAGTTCTGTAAATCTAGTGTTAAGGGAGGCCAGGCGAGTATGCTCGTCGCGGAGAAGTGACAATATTTGTTGTCGCGACGAGTATATTCGTCACGGAGAAGCGATAATATTTCTTATGACGACGAGTATATTCGTCACAGAGGCATGGCAGTATTTTGTGTCACAAAGAGTATACTCGTCGCGGGGAAGTAACAATATTTGTTGTCACGACGAGTATACTCGTCGCGGAGACATAGCACTATTTTATGTCACGACGAGTATTCTCGTCGCTGAGAAGTAACGATATTTTTTGTCACGACGAGTATACTCGTCGCTGAGAAATAACGATATTTTTTGTCACGACGAGTATATTCGTCACAGAGATATGGCAGTATTTAGTATCACGACGTGTATACTCGTCGTGGGGAAGTAACAATATTTTTTATCACGACGAGTATATTCGTCACGGAGACATAGCAGTATTTTGTGTCACGACGAGTATACTCGTCGCGGGGAAGTAACGATATTTTTTGTCACGTCGAGTATATTCGTCACGAAGACATGGCAGTATTTTGTGTCACGACGAGTATACTCGTCGCGGAGAAGTAACAATATTTTTTGTCACGACGAGTATATTCGTCACGGAGACATAGCACTATTTTATCTCACGACGAGTATACTCGTCGCTGTGAAGTAACGATATTTTTTGTCACGTCGAGTATATTCGTCACGAAGACATGGCAGTATTTTGTGTCACGACGAGTATACTCGCCGCGCGTAAAAAATGAAGCGACCATTGTCTATTTAAATAGTAGTTTCAGTGAAAAACATATTCTGAAATTTCAAGATACAAATCGAACGATATTTTGATAGCAGAAATAGAATAAACCTGATTTGTCAATCGTAAAAATTTCACACGTGCTATAAATCGGATGCTTTTTCACAGTGAAAAAGCAGTCTGAAACTAAACAATCTAACACAATCTACCAGCTTAAATAAAGCTTGAAATTGCGCACTCCGGTGACTAAGAAGCGCATGAAAAACGAATCAGCGCCGCAGGCAAATTATCCTCTCTGTACCCGAACGCGATTCGGAGGATTCTCTATTAACCGAGGTACCCTTTTGGCTTGTTTCCAGACTAGTCTCGTCGCCGCCGAGGCAAAACGAGGCGGGCAGCAGCAGCAGCAGCAGCGCGGCGCAGCACGCGGCGACGTTCGCGGTGCGTGTGGGCACGATCGACGGCGTGGTCACGCATCATCTGCGCGCGGAGACGCGAAGGGACCTAGCCGCGTGGGCCAGGGCGATCGTTCAGGGCTGTCACGCGGCCGCCCACTCGTTACGCGAGTACACCGTTCGTGAGTATACACTCGTCCGACAGGCTCGTTTCCGCGCGCCGGTCCCATCGGCAATCGCCGAATCGACGTCTCCGCTCGAATAAAGAATGGCGAACCGCGGCCTGATGGAACGGGACGAACGTAAAAACCCACGGAAATATATCGCCGCCCCCCAGACAGTTGTTCCGCGGACACCATGCGACCGGGTCACCACCGAAATCCCATTCCTTGCCACCTGGAGCGATCGCTGAAATTCGTTCGCGCGCGAGTCGAGCGTGTGCGGTAGAGCGCCGATTACTGCGGCGGCGCAGGCCAATTACTGTGCCCTGTTAGCGGACTTCAGGAGTTCTCGGTGATGATCGCGACTTTAGCGACTTGAATGACATTTCCTGATGGCTTAATCCCACGCCGTGATATTTTTTGTTCTTTTCAGAACTGAAGGAGGTAGAAGCTTTTTGATCGTAACATGTTTTTCGAAAAGGAAGAGATATAGATTTCTTGTGCGTTTACGTTAACTAGAATAATTAAATATTGACGTCGCGAGAACGGAATTAATAACTAACAGGTTGTTGCTAAAAATCCTCATCGCGAGGTTATGACAAAGTTACGTCAGGTTTATGTCAGGGTTATGCCAAAGTTATGCCAAAGTTATGTCAGGATTATGCCAAAGTTATGCCAAAGTTATGCCAAAGTTATGTCAGAATTATGCCAAAATTATTCCAAAGTTATTCCAAAGTTATTCCAAACTTATGCCAAAGTTATGCCAAAGTTATGCCAAAGTTATGTCAGAGTTATGTCAGAGTTATGTCAGAGTTATGCCAAAGTTATGCCAAAGTTATATCAGAGTTATGTCAAGATTATGTCTGATTTATAAATTTGCAAGAAAATAACATGCGCCATTTAATTATATGAAATAAAAGTTAAATAAGTAAATAACATCCGAAGTTGTGCCAGTATCTAGACCTCATTGATTCCTTTTTTTTGCATACTTTGTCAAGTCGAAATGCTATGTCAAGTCGACATAACCGTGACGTTATCCTGACATAACTTTGGCATAACCCTGACATAACTTTGGCATAACTTTGGTGAAACCCTGACATAACTTCGGCATAACTTTCGGTGTTTAACTAGAAAAATAAAAATTTTGTGTAGGATGCCGTGGTTTTCTAAAATATTGAAGTTAACATTAATATAAAAAGTACATTTATGTCTTCCACAAAATTATCATTTTATTATTTATTAAATTATTATTATTTTAATCAGAAAAAGCTCACAATTGCATCAGAAAATCCGAAAAAGATAAAGTTGACCCCCGAATCTCGGTCCTGCCTGCATCATGCTCGCACATCTAACATGAACACTGCCGATCGAGCACGCGGCTAGCACGACCCGAGCCCAGCACGTAGATGTGTACCGACCCTAATCGTTCGTCGCGTGGTTCGACTCGCGTACGCGTTCGAACGTGAAATAAAGCGCGGGGAAAAAACGTCGAGGCTCGCATAGATCTTCCGTCGGGGTGACGGGGGTGGCCGGGAACGTAACACAGGGTGGGACCCTCCCCCGTTGTTCTCCTGCGAGCGCTCGCTTCGATGAATTTTAATTTCTTTTCACCGTGGACGAACGCCGGCAATAATAAATCGAGATTAATGCCGGCACGGGCCGCCTTCCAGCTTCTCGACTCGTCGAGCGCATCGATCATCGACGCGGATCCCCCACGGGCCCCTTTCGATTTTCCCTCTCCTTCCTCTGTCTCTCTTTTCTTTCCTTTCTCTATTCAGCCGTCCGTCCACCTGTCTTGTTCTTTCTATTTCTCCCGCGGAATCCGACACAGCAAGACGCGAATAACTGTGGCAGAAATATCGCGGCACGTCGGAACTGGCTGAAATTGCACAGCGGTTCCGTCGAGGACCTCGCTTCGTCGACCGTGCCCGCGTTGAGCTTCCTAAAAATAATAAACAGCAAACGAGCACGACGATCCGGCTTCTGTTTTAGACGATCCGTTTGTCGATTCTACCGCGCGATATTCGCGGAGCGTCGATCTTTATGGAGATTCGGACTTTTCTAGCGTGTACGTACTATATCTGCGGAGATCTTTGATCAAATATCTTCCGGTGGGAATTTTCTGACGTTTAATAGCTGACATTAAAGCTGAAAGATTGCGCTTCGTGATAGGTCTATCGCGATTTCGAAAGAAAATTCTGGATCTCGTTGGAAGATTGACAAGCCGTGATCTATAGCTCCGAGAAAAATGCTTGAGCTTCGACGAGTTACTTCGCGTACGGGTTTTAGAATGCAATCCAATCCAAATTTTCAAACCTTTAATGGCTCAAATTAAAGCTGAAAGATCACGCTTCATGATAGGTATATCGCGATTTCGAAAGAAAATTCTGGATCTCATTGGAAGATCGGCAAGCCGTGATCGATAGCTCCGAGAAAAAAGGATTAAGCTTCAACGAGTTACTTCGAACGGGTTATACAATGTCTTCCAATCAGAATTTTCAAATCTTTAATAGCTTAAATTAAAGCTGAAAGATTATTCTTCGTGATAGGTCTATCGCGATTTCAAAAGAAAATTCTGGATCTCATTGGAAGATCGGCAAGCCGTGATCGATAGCTCCGAGAAAAAAGGATTAAGCTTCAACGAGTTACTTCGAACGGGTTATACAATGTCTTCCAATCAGAATTTTCAAATCTTTAATAGCTTAAATTAAAGCTGAAAGATTATTCTTCGTGATAGGTCTATCGCGATTTCAAAAGAAAATTCTGGATCTCATTGGAAGATCGGCAAGCCGTGATCGATAGCTCCGAGAAAAAAGGATTAAGCTTCAACGAGTTACTTCGAACGGGTTATACAATGTCTTCCAATCAGAATTTTCAAATCTTTAATAGCTTAAATTAAAGCTGAAAGATTATTCTTCGTGATAGGTCTATCGCGATTTCAAAAGAAAATTCTGGATCTCATTGGAAGATCGGCAAGCCGTGATCGATAGCTCCGAGAAAAAAGGATTAAGCTTCAACGAGTTACTTCGAACGGGTTATACAATGTCTTCCAATCAGAATTTTCAAATCTTTAATAGCTTAAATTAAAGCTGAAAGATTATTCTTCGTGATAGGTCTATCGCGATTTCAAAAGAAAATTCTGGATCTCATTGGAAGATCGGCAAGCCGTGATCGATAGCTCCGAGAAAAAAGGATTAAGCTTCAACGAGTTACTTCGAACGGGTTATACAATGTCTTCCAATCAGAATTTTCAAATCTTTAATAGCTTAAATTAAAGCTGAAAGATTATTCTTCGTGATAGGTCTATCTTGATTTCGAAAGAAAATTCTAGATCTCGTCGGAAGATCGACAAGCCGTGATCGATAGCTCCGAGAAAAATACTTGAGCTTCAACGAGTTACTTCAAACAGGTGTTAGAATGTATTCCAATCAGAATTTACAAACCTTTAACAGCTTAAATTAAAGCTAAATTAGCGCTCTTTGCGATAAGTCTATCTCGATTTCGAAAGAAACTTCTAGATCTCGTCGGAAGTTCGACAAGCCGTGATCGATAGCTCTGAGAAAAATGCTTGAGCTTCGACGAGTTACTTCGAACTGGTTTTAGAATGTTTTCCAATCAGAATTTTCAAACCTTTAATACCTCAAATTAAAGCCAAAAGGTCGCACTTTCCATCGGCCTTAAGGAGCGATCACAACGCAGCGGTATTCGCTCCCTAAGGGGACGTCGATGCGCACTAGTCGGTAAGAGAAGTGTTGCTCGAAGATGAAATGGTAACAATTGCCCTGAATTTGCAGGCTGCACGTGGCAGGGGAAGGCCTGCCAGCTGGTAGTGAACCACGAGGACGGTTTCGCGTTGTTCGCGGCGGGGACCAGGGGCGTGGGTGGCAACGGGGTGAGTCCAGGCTCTCCCCCGGCCCCATTATGGAGAAGATCGTTCGACAAACTGAAAATGTCCGCCGACGACGGGGCGCGTCTCCTGTGGCTCGACTTTGGCGGCGAAGATGGCGAAATTGTGAGTAGAAATTTGCCCGTTTACAATTGAACCGTTTCAGAAATTTCTATCAGAAATCTCCGAACGTTGGGTGCGAGGCGCGCGATAATCATTGCTCGAAAAACGGAACCGCGATCGAGGCAACGTCCGTCGCGGAGAGAAGAAAGTCGCTGCCGCTTTTATCGACCAGCTGCGGCGGGGTGAGACGGCAGGGAGGAGGGGTGGCATCGAGAATTTTATTACAATCGACTCGAAGCATCGAGATTATTATCGTGAAAACGACGGCTGTGCACCGGGTAATCCCATTGTGCCCGTCACTGTCAAAGGACCGTCGCGGATGCCGGCGATACTATCCCGGGGAAAATACGTATTTTACATCTTCCTTCCCTTTTTCATCCCCCGCTCCCAAACACTGTCGTCCGGCTCCGTTCAATGGCCATTCATAGCCGAAGGGTGGGGGCCGTTCGAGGGGAATCATCGACGGAGAAATCCGCCGCGACAGACGTCTCGATGGAAAAATTATTCCGCTCTCGAGCAGCCTGAAACGAACCTGCAAATGGGGAATCCTCGGCGACCGGCGCGGCGTTCCTTGGAATTTTTATTAAGCACGTCGGCGGACTGCGAAATATAACACTGCGCGAGCTTTATATATTTCTTTTCTTTTCTTGGCTACACACTCGACAGCAAAATTAAAGCAACAGTAATTTCTGGCCGAGAAGTCGTCGCCCTTCGAACAGCTGTAACTCCGTCGAAAGTTCTCGTAGAATCACGTTTTTTAAAGGAAATTAAAGCTTGAAGCCTCTACTTTACGACAACGTATTCTAATTTTCCATATTGTGCATCCTCGCGGCCGTAGTATACCAATTCTCGCGATACCCAAATCTTCGCGATACCTAAGAACTGCGAAGTTCAACGTCCTCTAGGGAGTTGCAGAAATTTTTCTCGAGTATGCCGTATAGAGCATCACAAGGTCCGGACTTTTCTCTTTAATTGGAGGGAAGAATTAAGTCGCCACGATTTTTTGTCGCGAAGTTACAAACCTTTGTTCTGACCCTTACTCCATAGTACGGTGTTCAAATTCGCACTTTTCGGTATCACGAGTATGCCGCCAGATTTAGCATACTGCGATCGCGAGGATGCGTGATATTAAAGATGAGATTAAGGTGTCGTGAAGTAGAGACTTCAAGCTTCAATTTAAGATAAATATCATGATTTTATGTTAGCTTCTAACGGAGTTGCAGCTGTTGAAAGATCGACGATTTTTCGGTCCTGAATGCTTTACGTCGGACGAGGATTAAACGAAGCGAACAAAAGAATACGTAATCTCTTTTTATCTCGTATGATCGCTTTGACTGTCGCAAAAATATCCGCAAGAGACGCAGAAATTAGTCACAGAAGTACCAGAAGTCATGACGAAGAACATGATGCGAGAACAGAGAAGACAAGATTTATTACAGAAATTACAGTAAAATTCTCCCTGATTCTCCCTCAGCTTGTGCAGAAAAGTGGACAATTTGGGAAGAGGAGACACGATTATTCGAGCCTTGCGATCGCTTTTTACAGATACCAGTTGTCAACAACTATAAAAACGACTCGCAAGGCTCAAACAATCGTCTCTCCTCTTCCCAAATTGTCCATTTTCCTGCAAAATTTCAACGTCAATTAGAGAGATTTTACTGTAATTGCGATTCAAAACGGCGAACAGATCGAATGAATTTCAGCATACGAATACAGCAATGTCTCCCTAATTGACGCTCAGATTATGCAGAAAAATGGAGAATTTTGGAAGAGGAGACACGATTATTCGAGCCTTGCAGCTCGTTTTTATAGTTCTTGACAATCGATAACCAAAAAAAACGAGCCGCAAGGCTCGAACAATCGTATCTCCGCTTCCCAAATCGTTCATTCTCGCTTACAAGCTGAAACAAAAATTAGGGAGAATTTCCTTGTACTCTTGAATCTCGTAAATGCGAGCCAATTTCGATCTACTCGCCAAAAAGTTGCCCCAGAAATCGCTTTCAAAATCTGTTTAAAAAACAATTGCGCCCACATTATTGATTTAATTCGCGCTCAGCTTGTCCACAAAAATGGATAATTTGGGAAGAGGAGACACGATTATTCGAGCCTTGCATTCGCTTTTTACAGTTACCGATTGTCAACAACTATAAAAACAAGGCTCAAACAATCGATCTCCACTTCCAAAATCCTCCTTTCTCGCTTACAAGCTGAAACAAAAATTCGGGGGAATTTCCTTCTACTCTTGAATCTCGTAAATGCGAGCCAATTTCGATCTACTCGCCAAAAAGTTGCACCAAAAATCGCTTTNAATTGCGATTCAAAACGGCGAACAGATCGAATGAATTTCAGCATACGAATACAGCAATGTCTCCCTAATTGACGCTCAGATTATGCAGAAAAATGGAGAATTTTGGAAGAGGAGACACGATTATTCGAGCCTTGCAGCTCGTTTTTATAGTTCTTGACAATCGATAACCAAAAAAAACGAGCCGCAAGGCTCGAACAATCGTATCTCCGCTTCCCAAATCGTTCATTCTCGCTTACAAGCTGAAACAAAAATTAGGGAGAATTTCCTTGTACTCTTGAATCTCGTAAATGCGAGCCAATTTCGATCTACTCGCCAAAAAGTTGCCCCAGAAATCGCTTTCAAAATCTGTTTAAAAAACAATTGCGCCCACATTATTGATTTAATTCGCGCTCAGCTTGTCCACAAAAATGGATAATTTGGGAAGAGGAGACACGATTATTCGAGCCTTGCATTCGCTTTTTACAGTTACCGATTGTCAACAACTATAAAAACAAGGCTCAAACAATCGATCTCCACTTCCAAAATCCTCCTTTCTCGCTTACAAGCTGAAACAAAAATTCGGGAGAATTTCCTTGTACTCTTGAATCTCGTAAATGCGAGCCAATTTCGATCTACTCGCCAAAAAGTTGCACCAAAAATCGCTTTAAAAATCTGTTTAAAAAACAATTGCGCCCAGATTATTTATTTAATTCACGCTCAGATTGTGCAGTAAAATAGACAATTTGGGAAGAGGAGACACGATTATTCGAGCCTTGCGATCGCTTTTTACAGTTACCGATTGTCGACAACTATAAAAACAAGGCTCAAACAATCGATCTCCACTTCCAAAATCCTCCATTCTCGCTTACAAGCTGAAACAAAAATTCGGGAGAATTTCCTTGTACTCTTGAATCTCGTAAATGCGAGCCAATTTCGATCTACTCGCCAAAAAGTTGCACCAAAAATCGCTTTCAAAATCTGTAAAAAAAGAACAATTGCGCCAATCGTACACGACGAACGCGGCAGTCGAAGCGTGTTAGAACCGAGCAAATCATTGAAAATGATTTCTGACGATCGATTTAAACCATTGCAGGAGCTGGACCTCGAGAGCTGTCCGAAGCCGATCGTGTTCGTGCTGCACAACTTCCTGTCCGCGAAGATCCACCGCCTCGGCCTGAGCGCATAGGGGTACGAGGGGGCCCCGACGGAGGCCCCCGACCTGCCGCCCCACACCACGAGGTCCGTGACCAGCGTGTTCCTCCACTGAGACCGAGAGACCGGTGCAGCCGAGGAAGCAGCAACGAAACCGGACCATCCTGAACAACAACAGCAGCAGCATCAACAACAACATCATCGTCAACAACAAGAATAACAAGAACAAGAACAACAACAACAACAACAATAACCGAAAGTGGGGAGGTGGAAGAAGACGAGGAGAAGGGGGACGAAGAGGAAGTAGAAGAGAGGAAGCAAGCGAAGCGAAGAAGCGCGAGAGGAGAGATGAAAGAGGATGAACGACGGACCAGGAAGAGCGACCGAGCGTCCGCCGGAAGTGACGGGTTCCCCGGCGGGCCCGAGACTCGTCCGCGTCTCTAACCAGACCTTCTTCGAGGCTGTTGGTGAAGTGGGCCGATCGGGACGGCGGTGTTTTTTTGCTCGGCCGCGAGCCACGAGCATGAACAATCGCGAGCGTGAACTATCGGCGACGCGACCATTCGCGAGCCAGGCGAGACGTTCGCCTGCTAACTAGAAACGATTCTATCGAAAGAAAGTATACCCCGGGCGACGATCAACGTCGACGCGATGATCCACCGCGTCGACTCGAAGCCATCCAGCCGCGCGCGATTATCAGAGAACGAGGGGGGAGAGAGGGAGAAAGAGAGGAAGAAAGAGAGAGCAGACCTCAGACCTGGCGATCCAGACGGGGGCAAAAGTCGTACACTAATCAACGCGCCTAAGTAACCAATTAAAACTATACTACCTAACGCTAAGTATGAGTAACAGGGGTGGGGGGGACCGACCAGCCGGAACGGAGAGGATCTTCTGGCCCGGCGACGATGATCGGTCCGAAGGCGGCTAGACGAAGCTAATCAGTTACTGTCCAAGCGTGCGCTGCCCGTTTGCTCTTCCGCATCGCTCTGCGACCCTTGCGCCGCCTGACTCAACCCTCGGTCCATCCGCAGCCCCCTTTTTCTTCTTCCCCTTGGGGAAGAAACGGGGATAAATCGGCCTTCGGCTGGTAAAAGGAAACTACGGGAGACAATGGGGATGCCGGACGATTTAGCGCGAAAATTTAGAGAGGTTATTGGGGCGGCTTGCCGCCCCTCGATCCGTCGACAACCCCCTGACCTGGCCGGAGGGATCGCCGAGAACTGGCTCCGGCTAAGCTAGCTAGCTGGTTCTAAAAAAGCAAACCGTCTGGTTTGGTGAGCTCCTTTGAGGAGCCGCGAGGAGCATCGTGGTTGTTCAGTGTCCTTTGCGACACCCGAAGGGCGACATCCGACTCACCCCCGGGTGGTACGTTGACAACCCTGTTTTCTAGGTCCGAAAGAGAAACAAGGCGTGTTTAAATTTATCTTGCCTTTGGAGGAGACGAGGTACTGGTGACTGCTTGGAGTTTGAAGTGCAGAGAGGGTGGGGAGTTTTTGGCGTTGTTTGAGACATCCTGTTCGTCCTGTTGGTGTATAAGCAACCACTTTTTTCGAGCAGCGAAGAAAAGTGAAGCGGCTGTTGATTATTGACTAGATGATTGTAAAAGGAAGAGGACAGATTCGGTTAGCTGATTGATTTTTCGGAGATCTGTGAATGGAGTGGCGGTTGTCCTGTACTTCTTAGACAATGCTTTTTCTTAGATACAGAGAAATGATCAAACATCTTCGAGGTAATGGTAAAAGCAAAAGATGAAGTCCAGTCAATTGCCTAATCTTTTGGAGCTCCTGAAAGAGGTTTTTGTTCTGCACTTATCAATCAAGTCTTTTTCCTGATCAAAGAGGAATGATCAATCATCTTCGAGGTAACAATATAAAGACAAAAGATGAAGTCCAGTCAACTGTCTAATTTTTTGAAAGTACTGAAAGAGGTTCTTGTCCTGTACTTATCAGTCAAGTCTTTTTCCTGATCAAAAATGAACGACCAAACATCTTCGAGGTAACATTATAAAGACAAAAGATGAAGTCCAGTCAACTGCCTAATTTTTTGAAGCTCCTCAAAGAGGCTGTTGTCCTGCACTTCTCAGGAACCTCGTTCTCCTAGCCAAAGACGAACGATCCAAGACCTTCGAATTGTTTCCAAAGGCAAAAAAACAAAGTCCAGTCAACAGCCTAATTTTTTGAAGCTCCTCAAAGAGGACCTTATCCTGCACTTCTCAAGCACCTCGTTCTCCTAGCCAAAGACGAACGATCCAACACCTTCGAATCGTTTCCAAATGCAAAAAACAAAGCCTAGTTAACAACCTAATTTTTCGAAAGACCGCAAAAGAAACAGCGGTTGTCCCACCCCCGTCACAAGTGGGTGACCTCCGCTCGCAATAATCTTCTTCGCCTGAACGAAATAATCCCAGTCTGCTAGCTAAGCCCGGAGAAGACGAGACCTCGCGATTAGCTGGCACGGTATTCGGGGTGGTCCGAAGAAGGCGAAGGGGCCGGGGGTTGTGTTCCAGGAAGCGCCGTGCAACTTATGGGGGGGGGAGGTGGAAACTGTGCGCATTCGAAGAGGGTGGTTCGCGCCTGGGGATCAGAACGTCGTGAATTATTTCCGAGCCGATCGCTATCGATGATCCCCGGCGAAGTGATTACGTTCGTCGCGAGCTCCCTGGCGATCCTCGAGTTTCGCGGGACCTCCCGGTGGCCGGAGGGGCGGTGGATCGGGGGGAGGGGGATCAGGCTGAATCTAGGCGCGTTAGGAAAAGTTTCCCGGTGTCGAACGGACCGACGATAACGATCTCGGAGCTTCGTTTCCGAGAAGAAGAGTAATGGCGGTAGCTCCTTATACGGATATGTTCTTATGTGTCTGCTTTTCGGGGGGGGGGAGGGAAGAGCAACGGGCGGACGTTCATAGTTGTTTTATACGATTCGTATTCTTAACGCGAGTAAGTGTAAGATGCCAAGAAACGTCGATGTGTATACTGGTAGAGCCGGCTCAGACTCGACCGTCGTGTCCTCTCTCTTGCGTTAGCTCGCGGCGAGCGGAGATTCTTCCGGGCGACTTAGCTTCCGTTCGTAGCTTCCATTACGCTCGGCGGCCATTCCCGAGCGCTCTGATCCTTGTTCGGTTTCAGCGCTGTTCCCGTTTCGGAACGGATTCGTCGGAGAAAGTTCCTATGATCGATCAGAATCGACACCGGAGGTTTCGTTTCGAACATGTCAAGAGAGATTGAAAGCGGAGGCGGCTCGTGTCTGACCCCCTGGTCGACTTTCCTGTCTGTGCACACATGGATTTTTGCAACTGTCGACAAATTGAAGATAATGTAGCGATATTTTTAAATCGTTTTAATTTCTCTGCCGTTTTAATTTTTCTATTCGTTTTATTTGTCTGCTTGTCTTCAATTTTATCTCCTCGATTTTACAACGAATCAAAATGTAACGAAA